AAAAAAAAAAAAAAAAGATTAAACCCACAGAAGGGGTCCTGACAGCCGTGACACACGGCGAGAACGACAGGAGTGCCGGTAAACCCACGGCATTTGGCCTGGAGCTTGCTGTTTAAGGCTCAGCCACCCAAGGGTAAGATTCCTCAATCAGAGAAACTCCCACACAAGCAAAAAAGACAGTGCATTTTGTAGCAAGAACTAAGTGTAAAATTTATATTCACTGATCTTTTCTGATTACAAAAGTAGATAGGCTTACTGGAATAGTTGGGAAATAGAGGCATAAAAAGAGAAAAACATGAAGAATCTTATGCTCTAATTTTAATACCTTAATTCTTTAGTCTCTTTTCTAAGTGTATTCAATATAGTTTGTCACGATGTAAGTATATGCATAAATCACATAAGTATCATTTGCGTATGTATACATACAGATACACAATTTTAAGACTTGTTTTCTTAATATACTATGAACACTTTTATATCATTAAAACGTATTCTGCAAAATATCCCATCTTATGGCTGCATAATTGACTTAACAAGTCCCCTGTTATTCAGACTCTCAGATATTTTCCATTAAAAAACATTACTACTGAAAACTATTAACAAATGTGTTTGTGCTGAAATTTCTTGTCTGCACATATGACTGCCTCTTGGGGTCCACTTCTGGAAGGGGGGTTCCTGATCTGAGTGGGGAACCACTCAAGGCTGGGAGGGAGGGACAAGGTCCCTCCTCAGAAGGGCTCAGAGAGCTGGGCGCCCCTCCCCTCTCTGCACCCTTGCTGATGACGATGATGACCAATGTTTAATCCTTGCTAGGACGAGGAAAGATGCTACCTCACTGGTATTTCAATCTTCAGGTCTGAATTGCCCCTGGGGTGGAACATTTTTTCGGGAGCTCATTAGCCATTTACCTTTCCTCCCCTGCAAGCTGTCTACATGTACAGCAAGTGCTTCTAATTTCCCAGCCAGCAAAGGCTCTTCACGTTCTGCCACCTCCAAGATAAACTGAAGCAAGCTGGGGCTCTCGTCAAAGCCAAGGTCAGCGTATGTCCTCGGTTTAGCCAAAAAGGCCAATTTCAGTTCATCACCTGATAACCCAAAAGGAACTAATAACGTTCTCCTTTCAATGGTTTGAAAACATTCCCACTACCAGGCTCTCTTCCTGTGAAACACCCCCGGCACTCAGTACCCTAAGGGTCAGAGCATACACTGGACACTGTGCCAGTGGGATTTTATTTATGTGATTGTGGGGAGGGGGGCTCTCTCACACAGTTTCTGAGTAAGCATCATACATTACCCACCTCCACACTGAAGAAATTAGGGACATATGTGCCCACAACATGGAAGAGGGAAGCAAATGAAATGGAGCAGACGCCCACGGCATGCCGAGCCGGGCACTGGGGTGCTCTGCACACCCCTTCCCCTTATCTGTTAGAGCAGGCCCCCGGGGAACGTGCTCCGCTTCCTCTGCAGATGCAATGATGCTCCACGGGCATAAGTCGCCCTCCGTGCCTCGCGGGGCCAGCAGTCCCGCATCAGGAGTCTGTTCCTGAGACGCAGCACTGTTCTGCTTTCTGCTTCGTTTGGCCTCTTGCTCAGGCAGAGGGCCTGCAGAACACGGGATGGAGACCTGGCGACTGCAGGCCTGCTGCCCGCGTGAGCAAGCTGCCACTTCCCGGTGCCCACCAGTCCTGCCCCAAACTGGGGAGAATGCAGAGCTGGCAGGACTTTAAGGAAAACTGGAGCCATCATGTTTTCAAGCTGTCCCTCTCATGAAGCAGCGCTCTCTCGCGATGGCAGCGGCCTGAGAGACATGCGGAGTCAGCCACCAACAGCTGCCTGAAGAGCATGACCCCGAGGAGGCTCCCCGAGTGTCAGGACTGCTCATGGGCAGCCAAGGGGGATGAGGAGAGTCCGAAGGCACCCAAGAGGGGGGGCTGACCTACAGCTGTCACCTTCCTGGAGGGGACTGCGGCACCCAGGGCAGCACCTAGTCCATCCGGGGGCACTGAGGTGGCAACGGAGCAGAGGGGAAGAACTCTGGCTTCAGAGTCGGCAACCCGGGCTGGACCCGGCTCTGTGGCAACAGGCCCTCCACTTCTCTGAGCATCTTTATGAGATGCATCAGCAGTGCATGGCCTGGAAGGGCAGCTAAGGTTTCAGCCACTCACAGTCAGTGCCAGTAACCAGTGGCCACCTCAGTCAGTCCAGACATAGTGATCGGCTTAGTGCCCCAGATGACTTTATACACAGTATCTCAGGTAGCAAGCAATTTTTCTTAACAACAGTGAAGCAATAACAATCTTAACACTGAATTAAAGCCACAAGACTCCCCAGTGAGAGCCTCTCCTAGAGATGCCCCTTGCTTGGT